TCTCTCTCTCTCTCTCTCTCTCTCTCTCTCTCTCTCTCTCTCGCTTTTTCTCTCTCTGTGTGTCGGAATTACTGTAATGGTCAGCTTTGATTATTATTAGCATAGTTAAATAGAAATATAGGATGGATGGATGGATGGATGGATGGATGGATGGATAGATGGATGGATGGATGAATGGATGGATGGATGGATGAATGGATGGATAGACGGACACAAAATCTAAAGGACTGACTCACATTCTAACATACCGAAGGACGAAACGTAGATGTATAATACCAACAAAAACAAATACATCGTGAGCTATGTCTCCATGGAGAGGTGTGAAGACAATCTATTACCTTTCCGTTTTCTGGAAGAAACTGTTCATAGCATGGCATTTCAGCAGCCTGTTCAGTCTGAGCACGGGTTGGTAAAAAGGAACTGTGGAAGGGACAGAGATGAGGACGCAGGAGGCAGATGTTTATGATATCATGTGTCATGTTATAGTGGAATCAGGCGCTCGTCAGTTTTATGGGCATGCTGAGTTATCGGTGTCATCTTAAGGCTTGTTCATTTGTCTATACATGTCTACCTTGAATAGAACTCGAGATAGTTGCGATTGAATGGGGTGGGGGTCTCTTGGTTTAAAAAGAAAAATTAGCAAAAGATGGCCACTAAAATTAAGGGACTTCTAAGCTTGAGAGTCCTTGGAAACAGCAAAATTACATTTTGTGACTATAATCAACGTTTTTCAGTAACATCTGTGATGTTATAGCACAGAAATCTGTATCCAAATGGACATAAAAGGCACTGAGCTAAAACAGAAAAATTCGATAAAAATTGCCAAACGAGTGAGAAAATGTCGATTTCTTCGATTTCATTAATTTGTTGAGTGCCTGATTTCTTCACCCTGCCTCATATATCATAATGGTACTGATATTGTATACATTTGTCGTAGTTTGGTTTAGTAGAGATTGAGATTGGTACAGCAGGATTTACACCATTTCATACAAAGAATTACCAATCCTTGAAAAGAAAAAAAAGCTACAGAAACACTGATAAGTGCATTAACCCCTTCATTGCCAGGCTAAAGAATTGAGTAATGCAACAGGTCTGGGTGTAAAAGTGCATTCCTGCGTTTCATAAATCCAAGTCTATAGGAATACAAAATTAATGCTAAGCTTTAGTAAATGTTTTACGGCACTTGCATCACACACATTTCGTATCAGTGCGGAAGATTAGAAGAAGTTACATACAAGGACTGTAGACGTTTGATAGGAAAGAAGGATCAAACCATACTAGAACAACCGCCAACCAACCAGGAATACACATTCATTGTGGGCTACTTTTCAGCTTTAGAAAAAGTTTGGTAATGTCATTTTCCCCTCTCAACCAACTACCCTCAAAAGAGATCGCTTAGTCGAATAGCTCTGTGGGTATGGTCAGTTAGAACTAGGGAAGTATCGTGACAGGGCAAGATCAAATAGCATAGCGACTTGCATTCGGGTAACCATGGGAACAAGCTCCTAAGCATATTCAATGTTTTATGTATGACAAGTAATTTTAGCTTAATTCTTATATAATCCTCACTACGCAGCTATGATTTGATTGACAAGATGGAAACTTAAAGTATGCCAAATCTTAAACCAGCCTGATTAGTCCACTCACAATATTTCCAGAAATGATGCAACCATGAGTCCAAAACTCCTAATGCTCCACAGAGTTCTGAGGGTAAAAGAAAATTAAAGATTCATCCTTCAAAAACAAATCTTTGAAAAGTGTGAAAGTAAAAGACTGAACAGTAATTTCGATTATTGGGCTTCAGACAGGCCCTGATGTGATTGGCACTGAGGGAACAGCAGAACAGTGTACATAAGTTGTCCAAGGCGCCCCCCCCCCACCCCCACCCCCCCATTGTTGAGGAGAAAAGTAATTGTCTTAGTTGGGTGGACGCCTTGGACAGTGCCATAATATTATTTTTAGAAACACAAGAGGGCAAGTTGGAAAGTGGTCGTTGGTACAGGTGATTGTCTTGGACAGGTGATCGCCAGAGCAGGTTCAACTGTATCATTACTCGTGGCTTTAGAAGGTGGAGTGTGGTTGGGGGGGGGGGGGGGCAGAGGGCCCAAGCAATGTGAAGGAAGGAGAAAACTGATCTAATGTTACTGGATGCAGCATGATTAAAGTGCAGTGCTTTGCCAAGGTTTAGTCAATCTGCCAATCCATAGGTTGATGATGCAAAATAAAATTGGATTTCATATTACCAACTAAGGCTAAGGCCCAGAAGGGGTTTGGCTGGGAGGTTGAGTGAAGGTGTAACTAAAATGCTTTGTGTATCCTGATGCTTCGAGAATCCCATGAAATACCGGGTCCATAACTTGTATCGTTCCTGTGGAAAGGTACAATACTAAACCTTAAAACCCACTTTTCATACACATAATGTATCTGAAAACACTTGGAAAACATTTCCTTAATCATGCATCAGTCCTACTTGTAAGTTAATCATTAAAAGGAGAGATTGTGGTTGAAAAGCGTTGTATGGCAAAGAAAATAATAAACAGCAAAAACAAAGGTAAAGAAGTGGAATCCAAAGGAAAAAATGCATTTCCTCTTCTTCATCTGCTTTGCGTTCCCTTGCTAGGTCTCAAGGGTAATCGACTGCTGGTTCTCAACCTGCAGTGCAACTGGTTTTTTCGTGAGCGTTTTTGCTACTCCCAGAAAAAGACAATTCTAGAATAATAACTCGAGCAAATGCTTATTCGTTACTGCCATCTATATCTGTTCCCAGGTGGGTTGGTGTAACAAATAACCATCTGCATGCCAGTGGGAAGTGGGAGGCGCAACAAATCTGTTACAGGAAAAACACACCTGACTACCTTAACCCAGCTGCACCTGTGTGGTAACTGATTTAGTGAGGGCCTATCGTCTCTCTGTTTTTTCTCTCCCTTTTTCTTTACTCTAACCCACTGCTTGTCAACCTGGGCGTATCACCCACCTATGGACGATTTGGTAGTTTTGGTGGGCAGTGGGGATCACCCAGGCAGCGACAGGTGCTATTTCGTGCCCCCGCTTTGAAATACACGTGGATGTCGGGTGAACAGAACGAAAATGTAAGCCTCATAAAGGTGGCAAAAATGAGAGCTATTTATGTTGGCAAAGCACTGCTCTAACCACTGGGCCGACAGTCCAATTATCAACGTGGCACATAACTATTCTGGAACCAGCCGCTGTTTGGCACTACTAAGAACTCGATCCGTTTACCACTTTTTGGCAGCTCGAAATAAATCACGGCAATTTAAACCCACGTGCAAGAATCTAACATGAGCACGAAACGACCCCGCAGTGTCGGCATTATCTTGTCAGTACTGACGTACACTGACAAATGCCTTTTTTTCGTATTCACAGCAGTTTCAAGAAAAATTTTTTTGTCAGCGTAACCATTAAAAAAAAGGTGTTCTTCCGAAATTTGAATTCTAATTCATGAACAAACTAGTTAGTTTCACTTTGATTTTTTTTCTCCACACAAATAGGGTAATTGATTGGGCTATCGATTCAGAAAAGAAAAAGAAAATTGGCTTTGAAAATGACAAAATGGCGTTTAGTCAACAAAGGGCAGAATAGATGTCACTTTGTCCCATGCAATGCTGTCGTTTCGGGAGGACGTAATTGATGATCTGCGAGCTTTAAAATATTTCATGTGTTTTAAAAAAAGATCTAAATTCTAACTCGACGATTAAGAGTCTACGTACGTGAGGCTTTCACTAGCACAGAATGCAAAGGGCAGACAGACACGAGATCGTGGACGAAAGTTCTTTTCCGGGTGTAGTGATAGAACGTC